CCCTGCTCCCCCCACCCCTGGTCCCCCTCGCCTGCTCCCCCCCACCACCCGGACAAAGACGTCTGGAGCGCGTTTGGCCACTCCAGGCCGCAGTAATAGATGGCTCAGCAGCAGGCGGTTTGAAGGGAATTTATTAGGACGCCTCCTGTATTGCCTCCGCGCACATTCCGCCCAGACCCCTAGGTGGCTTAGGTGGAGTGAGGGACATGAATTCCCGGCGGTATCCACAGGGAAGGAGGTGTCTGTGAGTTCTCCAAGCTCTGTACCTCGTTCTCCACTCTCACAAAAGAAGAAAAAGAAAAGGGAAAGGAAAAGAAAAAAGAAAAATCAAAGCCCGGGTAGAAAGGCTGATTTCCTTAAGAGCACAATAAATACTCCCCGTCATTATGAGATAGTTCCAGTAACACAGTCTCGGGTGTCATTACCTTGTTTGTTGCATACTAAGAAAAAAACTCCACTCCTTCCTTCATTTACGTTCCCACGTCGAGTCCATTCGCCACATGTCACTAGCATGTCTGTGACAGCGGTTACTCATTTCACCCAGGCACGTTTGCCATCCGCTTTGCTATTTCGCGGCAAAAATTTTGTTCTGGGGACCTCCGTCTCCTGATTATGACCCTCCGAGAGACAGGGATTCCTTTGATTGTCTTGGTGATAGTTCCCTATTTAAAGTTCAGCAGGAAGATCTAAGTCCGTTGAGTTATAGCTACACTTGACATAATTTGACAGATATTATTTGCAGCCATGAATTGCCGTGGAGAGTATCGACTGCAGGGGTTGTAATACTAATCTTCTTTTATTAGTGAGTTCAGATAATTCTCATCGATATGAATTTTATTTACTGGTGTGCTTTTTCTCGAATGCAATGCGGTAATATTTTCTCGTCTAATGCTTAACTGCTTAGAAAACGACTGTTCGCCTCATAAAAGGATCCTTGTGTTTCGCTGTGATTAACAAAATTCATTCGGGGCACCTCAGCTACCTGCAAAGCGTTCAGAGCGTGGGGACTGCGGGTAATAAAACCCTTTCGAGTTTTTCCTGGGCTCCTCGGAGAGATTTACGGGCAGCGAGCGACAGGTACACGGCTTATCCATCCTTCGGGTTCCTACCTGCTTAGCTCGTAACCACCTCCAACGACAGAGCCCTCGGTGACTCAGCTCTGCCCGGGCTGCGCGGGAAAACCACTGGGCACGGATCTTTGCGACTTTGCTAAAAGAGCCCCTCCCCCCTCCAATTAGGAGACACGAAGGGCGCGCTGGAAGCGGGGAGAGCTGGGTCGTCCAACTCCGGTAACTTTCTTTCCTGGGAAGCTCCCGCCCGATGAAGACAGCGCAGCCCCTGGGCACGTTACTTGCAAGGTGCCAAGCTAGTGTCAGGATCGTATTAAACCACTTAAAACTCCAGATATTCAGTAAAAGTGCAGGGAATGAAGTTGGCTCCACGCTTCGGAGCTGTCCCAGCCAGCGTTTGCATGCCGGTGACTGAAAGCTAAGTGGAAAACGTGAAACGCACAAGTGAGTGAGTGAATATTCATCCAGCAAACGTGCGCCGGCCTGCGCGGCCCGGCCCAGGGCAGGAGGCGCCACGGGCCGAACGCTTCGAAGCCGCCGCCAGGGTTGAGGTCGCCGGTGTTCGTGGAGAGGGGGCGGCCTGGGCGTCCCCGGTCTGGGTGGACGCGGAGAAACCTACGGGCCTCGCGGGCCTGGCGTCCCGGACAAGAGCCCAGGCGCAGGCGACAGGCTGGTTTCTTGGGCAACCGGGTTGTTTTTATTTATAGGGATTTGGAGTGGCCTGATCATTCGGTCATTGCCGCAGCTCCTGCTCCTGGCAATAGTTGGGAAGTAACTTGGGACGGGTTTTATTTATGGAAGGGCAATTGGGATTCACACCCAACTAACCCAGAACAGTCCCTCCGAGCCCAAGACGCACTTACAAAGGGGCGCTTGTGTAAAATTCCCCATCAGACACACCAATTTGCAAGTAGCAGAAAGAATTGAAGCCTCATCTTTCTAACTATTTTATTCAGCTTTTTTAAAAAAAAATCTGAAAGCCCAAAATAGACTCCATGTGGTTCTAAGTGAAGACAGCCCTTGGCTGGCTTTGAAATGGCTCCTGCAATTATGTAAAAGAGCCATTCACCAACAGGACGGAATTAAAAGGATCTTGCCCGCTTCCCTTTCATTGCCAGCCTCTCATGTTTGGCTTTTCAAAGCACTTCCAACACGATGTCTTTCTCCAGGACAAAAGGCAGAACAAAAAAAGTCCCCAAACTTGTAAATTGAACGTCAAGGGAACTTTAAACAATTTAAAGCCCATAAATAATGATAAAGGGGACTGGCAAAAAAGGCAAACCCATTCAATTAATAGAGTTTCCCAAGCAAGGATCAAGTGGTTGATAAAATAAAAGTCTTTGGTTCCATTATACTGTCCCCCGGCCATGCAGAGAGCAGGACAGGGGGCTTTTCTAAAGCGCCCTGAAGAAGCACTTTGCGGGACTGTGTGTGCCGCGACATTCTTATGTAGAAAGTTTGCTTTTTGTCCCTCACCCTCAAAGAGCAGGAACAAAACAGTCGCAAAGCAGAAACGTGAAGGGGAGGAGCCCCCCCCTTTTTTGGCACTTCCTGCGAGGAGTTGGAAAGTGTTCTCCGCAGGCCCGAAGGCCGGGAAACGTGACCCTTCCCGCGGGCGCCGCCCTCTCCGCTCCGCGCGGACGACCAGGCGGAGCCACGGCCTCGCGGGACCTGGGGACCGGGGGCAGGCGGGATCCTGCACGGCCGGACGCGCGTTGCGAGCGCTTAGAGGCCGGGGCTCCCCCGCACCCCACACCGGGCTTGGCTACCGGGTGGGGCCCAGGCGTCCGAGGGCGCGGGCGGGGTCCCAGTTCTTCTTCCGAGCGGCCCTGACGCTTGGTCTGCGGAGTGC